CCGCGCCCCTCAGAGCGGAGCCCCTCGCCGGGCCAGCCGCTGGGCCCGCTCCGGCCCCGTGGGGCTGCCCCCCTCGCCCGCGGCCGCCCTCCTTCCAGGCCGCAGCCCCACCGGGGCTCCGCGCACTTGTCCGCCTGAGAGGCCTGAAGCAGTCAGGAGGTAAAAGCTGGTCTTAGGGCTTGGCTTCCTTATGCTGTGCGTCCTACACGTCCCAGTTTATATATGTATATGTATATGTATATGTATATAGATGGTTTCCTCCTTGTTTCTTCTTTCCTTATTGGCCCCACACTGCCAGCGCCTTTAAGTCCCACAGTTAATGGAAAGCCATGACACTAATACTAGGTTTTGCAAAGTAAAGCCCCATAACACTAACCATTGTTCAGTGATTTAACTAGCTCAGTGGCAATAGGTCACTAAAACAGCATCCCTCTCCCACAAGAGTGACCCCGGTGCCTGCTATTATGGAACCTGTAGAGTTGTTGTTTACTATTGTTATGATTCCCAAAGTAAAAGGCCAGGGTTTTCTTTTCTTTTTCTTGTTTTTTCTTTTTTTTTTCTTCCATCCTCCGCCCTCCCCCCCGCCCCCCCGGAAGAATTAAAGACACAGCAAGTCTTTACAAAAAAAAACAGGGTTTGACTTATTGTCCCAATCGCAGGACTTCCAAAATAAATGAGTTTTAATCATTAACTTTTCAAACATTTGCATGTTTAAATTTTTTTTCGAAAAATGTTTGTCGTCGCCCTCAAAGATTTAAAGCACAGCTGTTGCTTGGTGTTGGTTGGAAAATTATGTAGTGCAAGTTCGTGCTATAAAAAACACAGAGTGTCTGTAGTCACATAAGTCGAAATTCAGTTTTGTAGGTCATCCAAATATGTTAAGCTGGTACCGTGGGGCCTTTTGCTGTAAAGTTACTTCACCTTGGCTCCCAGGTACTGTAGCCTGAACTGTAAAAGCTGATGATGCTTACCTCACAATAGCATGTATATCGGTTGCTTTTATAAACCCGCTTTTTAAAGAGTGGGCTGTATAAAACTAGCTAACACAAATTCAAATTAAGTATGTTGGTAATATGTTTTCATTTTTATAGGGACAACAGTATTTTCCTATGTAAAATAAACTTGTTGAACAAATGTAAAATACAAATGTTTGGCAAAATGATCATACACAGGCCAATTATGTATACAAAAACTCTTAAAGGAAAGTTGGCAAATGGCCAAATTCCTATAGGGACTAGCAGGGAAATGATCAAAAAATGAACATGAAATAAGACTTCCTGTAAGACGGTCCATAATTCAACATTATTTGACTCCACTGTCAGGGAAATTGTTGAAGGATAGTAAACTGATACAAGAGTCTCAGTCATTTTTGTTACAGTCTTAAATGTTTGCAACTGTAGCATTTTAGATGGTCTTTTTTGGGTAATGGTGTATCTTATCAGTATAATAAAGCAACACTTGTATTTATGTAGTAATAGTTTTTTGATACTGCACAGCTATGCAGGCCTTCTCTAAACAAAATGCAATTATATAGTATATATTTTTGCAAATGGAAATATTATTGTAAAAGCAGTATTATTTTACAAATGAAGAGTTATAAAAAAAAAGGATCCAATATACAGCATATCTGATGATTGTCAGGCTGTCTAAGGCAATCTCATATTATGACTAAAGTAACTCTCCAAAATATGTCGAATATATTAGTCTAACTCTGCAGGTGATACTGATCTGCCTTGAAGTTAACCGCTGAAAAATATTACATTTTTCCTTTAGGTTCATTTTTGCAGTTAGTCTCAAATTCTGGCTGCTAAAATCTACTTAAAATTGAAAATATTGCCCTTTTCAAAATATATTTGAACTCAGATGCACTAGTATAGGGCATCAATATAAAAGGTACAAGAACTATATAACAAAAATAATTAAGGCTACCTTAGGAATCTGAAATGAACCAATAATTAAAATTAAAACAGAATTAAATTTGTCTACCTCTATCTTACACTCTATCTTATCACACGGGGCTCATTAATTCTTTTTCATTTTTGTGAACAGATTTGCTGCAATACTTAGGAGGTGTTAGAATATTTTACTTTTGTTGCGGTTTATGTAAGGACTAATTAACATCCAAGACCTGACACTATTTTGTCAGAAATGTAGTGACTGAACCCCTATTTTAATTTTTAAAAATATCATTTTCTGTAATACCTATATCCTAAATGTATTACATTCTAAAGCACATAAAATACATTTAAAAATATTTATGAGAACTAATATTTCATTAGTCTACAGTTGCTTATTGGATTTATTTTTTTCTACTTAGTAAGTTCATTTCTTTGGGAAATAGTTTGCTAATTCGTTTTTTTTAAATGGGCAAACCTGCCAATGCTTACCACTGGTTATAGTCCTTATTGCATGCATTAGGAAGTATTTGTGTGATCAGGCCCAACTTACTGCAGTTATTCAAAATTCAGTCATCTTTGCCATAAAAATGTCATTTAAAACCCAGTTGTAAACATTTTGAAATAAAA